TCTAAGCCCAAGATGTCCCCATCTTGGTTATTTGCACGGGCTGCAAAGCCCTAGCCAAGCCACAGTAACCTTTTTCTGAAGTAATTCAAGCAAATGCCAACCCCAAGCCTGGACTGTGTATTACCGTAAGTTGCACCTATAGGGAAGGCCTTAGATTCAGAGTTGCTTTTTAATTCGGAGTCACAAGGAACTCACAGCAAAAACTGAAGGCCATAAAACCAAGTTCACTCATCCATTATTTTCTTTGACTTCACCACTGTCATCCACCCACCCACACTGAGTCTTCTCGTGTCAAGTCTCACAGTAAACCCATGTTGGTTCTCCATTCTCATGGTGTTTATGGAATGTCCCAAACAAAACAGCTCCATGAAAGTCAACAAGTCTACTGTTTGCATATGATGGAGCAGTCACCATTTGTAAAACTTGAATATTTCAAAACAAGAGGATTCTTGACTTATTCTACTAGAGTTTGAACTTGTGTTTGAACTAAAGCCTGTAGGTTCTGTTCTCTCAGTCCAGTGAACAGAATGCTAGGCAGTCAAAGCACCACTGTTTAGAAGGGCAGAACGGCACAGTATTACACATAATACTGGTTTTAATCAGTCCATGATGTGACATTACTGAAATGAAGTAATACAGTGATCGTACCTCACCAGATCAGCAAATGTATTCAAGACCCAATATGAGGGTTGTGAAGCTGCCCTGACTTGCTACCTTTTAGCCCTAGCTTTTTGTCTTATCTCATTCCTTATGATGATGATGATATTGTTGTGTTACTTAGGACATGCTTTTTATTGAATGAAATAATCTTATGCCATCTGACATTACGCCACTTGCTGACTTTATTACAGTTGCCCACAGAGTTAGAGTGACACAGTGATACAACTATGAGCCACCAAACACTCCCAACACAGGATCAAGAGAAGGCATGTCCCCCTAATAACTTGGTTCTTGGTTTACACTAAACCAGGGAGCAACAGCATGGACAAGGGCCTCGAAGTTACCTCCACATTTGTCAGTGCCCGAAGGTTCCAGACCAAGCCCACCTTGGGTGATGAGGGCCAAACACTGCATCTGTGCCACCCAATAGAGTGGGCTGTTAGCGCTTGAAATGTGTGGCAAATTTTCACTTTAAAGGTTTATGCTTGCAGAACTGGGGTACAGGCCAGAGGTGCAGGGGTAGTAAGAGGATTCACCAGAGACAGAGTGGGTAGCAGAACAGGCAGACTGATGAAGTACACTGCTGAGGGGAGCAGCGGGCGGGTCAGGAGAGGTCTGCTGCGCCATTTGGGTTAGCTCCCTTGCCGGGGATCAAACCTGTGCTGCAGTGGCTTCAGAGAGCTTCATAGTGCAGTGCTTTAACCCGCTGTACCACCAGGGAGGGCCCTATCTTTCATTTTAATTAATTAAAATTAAATAGCCACCAGTGGCCAGTGGCTACCAGACTTAACAATGCAGTTTTAGCTACTCGGGCTCCCTATTTCAATTCAAAGGATTTTTCCCTTTTCTTTAAGGACCTGAATCTGATCTTCCTCAAAACTGTGCTCAACACACTTGAGGATGTTTGTAGAAAATGTGGTGGCTCCCGCTAGGGGACACGCTTTCTGTGTCATTGTAGCTACTGAGAAAAGGCAAAGTGGCTTCTGGAACATGGGACTGATTCCTCTGAGCCACAGGGGTCACTGAATTTGGAACAGTGTCCCCAGGGGCTGGAAAGAACACACTCCAACCTTCTAAGCCACAGGCAAAAAGCTAAAAAAAGAAATTCTGAGTGGCTTGAAAGAGGAGCTTGAAAAACAAAAACAGTGGTATGAAATCAGTGGGTGTCTTGTCAGCCTTAAGCGACCATAACCACCGGCCAAAAGAACAGAACTAATTGCTTACTTAAAAGGAAAAGAAAAAAAGAGAAAGAAAAAACAACTAAATCAGAAATATCTAAGGAATGTAAGTAGTTTTCACAGACACTTCCAATCAAACAGCCTGTGTATGATATTTCAACATAGCTATCTCCTTCCCCCCCCTTTTTTCCCTTTCTCTCCTACCCTTGTTCTTTCACATCTGATGGAGACACCTCCTAAATTTCATTAGTTTTGTTTATGTCTCAAATAAAGGGGATAAAAGAGTAGCAGGCTTCTCCTAAGAAGTTTACTGGAGTTCTCTTTGTAGAGTGGCATAGCGGGGTGACCCGGGGTTTCAGGTTGGATCTGGAAAGTCCAGCAGCTGAACCCATGGGCATTTGCCCTGCCCCTAGCCAACACAGCTGTTTCCTTTCTCCCAACTGCTCCCCTCAGCACCCCCACCCTTTTTTTTTTTTGAAGAAAGGACCACCCTGAACCGAAAGGGCTTTCTATCTTCTCCAGTTCAGCCTGTCTGGCCTGGTGGCCAGCCTGTCCAGGAGAAGCAAAGTGGGAAATGCTGCAAATGAGTTTTAAAACCACCAGAGGACGGAGGGAAGGGCTCAGAGAGCAATATTATGATTTTGTTTTCTGGAGGCAGGTTACAAGTACCACTTTTCCAAACTTCAGGGATTCCTCTGGAAGAGGAAAATAATTATTTTCCTTCTCGATATCTTAAGGGAGAAACAACACCAGATCTCTCAGTTCCTCATGGCCCTAATTTTCTTTCTGTCCCCATCCATTCAGCTAAAGATTGGAATTCTGCCCGCTTTGCAAACTCGCTCTGAAAAGGCCTCCCTAACCGCAGGGTGTAATGAATCAACTAGAATGAGGACAAGGACTAGAATTCCCAACCAGTAGCTAGGGTCAGCTGGCCCGGAGTCAGGTGAGGGCAGGGTTTGGACAGGGGCAGTAGAGGTGAGCAGGCAGAGGGCCAGAAGTCAGGCCAGAGGCGAACGCAGAGGAACGTCAGCTCTCTCAGAGGTGTCACTTGCTAATTGGTGGCTTTGTAGCCTGGACAGAGCTGGCTTCAGAAAATCTGCTTAGAAGAGTACAAGGGAGGGCGCTGGAATTATTAGAAAGAACCTGAAGATGGAGCCTGACTAGGAGCCAGCAAATCTCGGCCCTGTGTGTCACTACAGCCCTTTATCCAAGTTCTTTGCCAAGCTGCTTGGATACGCACATACCCCACAAACACAGGTATGGTATGGAGACACAGCACACAATCACATACACATTCATACATAAAACTCACAAACATACCTATATTTACACACATCTATACAAACACACAAACCCACAGACCTCTGAAGAAACACAAACATACTGATATAACCTACAAGCACATATAAACACTGTGTGTCCACAGATACACACCCCACAAACCTTCTTCATGTTCAGATCAAAAGTGGGGTTGGAAAAAACAACCAATTAATTGGACCAAGTCTCAAAGGAGAGGAAATGAAATGAAAAATCCAGCCTGGGTTATAAAAATAAGTATTTTTTTTCCAACGTGCAGGAGGCTCATTATATTAATTAAACATTATTGCAGTGAACGAGAGGGGGGAGGGTGATTAAGGCTGGGATGAGGGTAAGTGTTCTCTCCTGCTGCCCGAGGCTGTGGTGATCTTCAGATATTAATCTCTCTGAGCACTCAAAAGCTGAAGAGATAAACACTTGAAATATGAAAATGTTTTTCTCCAGAGCAGACGCTGTGACCCTCGGGGAAAGCAAGTGCGTCAGGAGGCTGGCCCTTGCTGTCCTCACCGAATCTGTCCTCTGCTGTCCCCTGGGGACAGGGGACCCATCCGGTCCCTAGGGGGAGAGGCAGCAGCTTGGTGAGGCGTGCGGAAGGGGCGTTCCCATCCCCCTTTCACTCCCTAGTCCTGCGGCATTTGATCTACTAATTTCCAGAATTAACCCCTTTCCTCTCAAATCCTTTGGGTGTCTCAAGTCCAGACCAAGGGTGTGGGAAAACTGAAAGCTAATGAGTGGTGTACGAGAGCCAACACATACCAGCTTGTTAAACTTTCTGGGATTTTGCAAGCCAGTTGTTAAGCACAATCATTACTGAAAATTAAATGATATAAAGTTACAAGGAAATAAATTCTCTAAGAGCTAAAGGCAACAAATTATGAAAACTCTTAACGCTTTCTCATTTTAATACATTTTACCAGCATCGATGCTCCCTGAGTTATTTAGAGCTAGTGCATCTGTCCCCTGGGGGGGGGGTGTGTGTGGAACCTACTTAATGCTGTGTGACGGCACTTCTCAACTCTACCGCCCGATGACATCATGTTGGTTGTTTGAATTCCACCACTGTGGGAGTATTGACACCACCAAGAGTGGCGAATATTACAAGGCAGACTTTTTCCTTTTAGTCCCCAGAGAGCTGGCTGTTAAACTTTTACCAGAGCGCCACTGTCTAAGCATGCGACAGCAGGTACAGCACACAACTTTTGCTGTTCACCAGGGCTGACGGCAAGCCCTCCCCCATCAACAGAGCCAGAGAGGTTTCTGGAGCTCGGCCCTCTGCAACCAAAAGGGAGGCTTAATCCAGCAGTGCTGGCAGCAGCACCCTCCAGGAGGCCAAGTGCCAGGCGGCTGGGCTAGACACCCACGGGTGTGGCAGGGTTTCAGCCCCTGCCTTGGTTTGCTACAGAAGCGATGAAAGCCTTCGAGAAGTGTAAGTCACACTCAAGGCCAAGGCCGGTGGTGTCCTAATGAGCCATTTTAGGAACAATACCCAGCCTGGAACTGAGAAGAGGCTCTGTGATGGTGGAGGCCATGCTGGCGATGGGAACAAGGGGACATTGACTGCCCATCTCCTAGGACCTCCCCACGGCTCCTTCTTCCTTCCTCTTCTTCCTTTTATCTTGGCTTCCCGCGATCCCTCCCAGCCTCCACTGTAATCACAGAGAGGGCCAGGCACCGCCAAGCAGCTCTGCTGTGGGTGGGGTGACGTGAGCAGACGGCAGCGGTTTGCGGGCAGAGGGCAGAGACGGCTCTGTGGTGAGAAGTCCTGAAGCTTGTCAGGGAGTCTGAGCTGGCAAACTGGAGTAGGCTGGCCTGAACTCTTTCCTCCCTGAACTCTCCAGGGCCTACCTGGAAATGTCCGGTCGTTCGGGCTGGAGGGGCTGGTCCAGGTGCTTCTGAGCCACTTGGCGCTGTCGTACATCCACCCACAGGGCTCCTCCGGGAAATCAAAGTTGCAATTGAATCCTGAAGGGAGCTGCAAATCTTTGTCTAAAAGGGGAGAGAAATGCAAAGGAAAGCAACTGAAATGGGTTCAGAGAACAGCCACAGTGGTGCTATTTCAATGGCTGGCAAAGCCTAAGTGGAGAACCGAGAAAGAAGTGGCTGCCTTGCTTATTCATTTAACTCATCTTGGCGATGGCTGGCTTTCAGGTCAGCCTTTGGTCTCATCCTTCCCAGGCAGGAAAGCCAAGCCTGCCAGTGGTTCCCATAGTAAGTAATTATAAATGAGGCCGCCAAATGGCTTCGGGCTCTACTCAGCCTCTTCTGTCCACCTCCGAGAGAAGACAAATGTGAAAATCGCTGTTCCCGCAATGCCAGAGAAGAATGTCTCCTCAGTGCCTCAATGGTGGGCTGGCTCCTGCCAACCTGCTTCTGAGAAGTGAAGGGGCCGCCCATTAGCATCCAGAGAGGCTGAAATGTAGGGGATATGCTGACCAGGGAGGAGAGAGTGACCTCAGAAACGAGGCAGCCTTGCTTTCTCCCCTTCACCCCTCTTGGGAATAGCACTCTTGTCTCAGAAGGACAGGTCAGCTTGGCATCTCCGGAGGCCGGCCTCTTGGCATGTTAGGGCGAAATGAACAGGCCAGACCAGCCAGTCGCCTGCTCAGCACCGGCCAGGAAGAACAACTTCACACGGCATCGAGTGCCTGGAAGTCAGCTCCCAGAGGCTCCGGGAGGAGCGAACACTTTCCTCACGGAAACCTAAGACACGACTACACGACTTTGTCCCATCTACTTTGTTGTTCACCTGAGTAAGCCAGAAGACTGGGCCAAAATTTCCTTTGAGATTCCACCCTGTTCTAAGCATCCACTGTGAGCTGCTTCCAACGAGATGATGAAATAGGGGGACTCCAGGAGCTGGGGGAAACAGGAACTGGAAACCCAAACATGGAGCCTCAGGGCAGCTGAGACAATGGGAAAGAGCTGGCTAATGCTGGGAGCAGGGAGGAAGTGGGGTCTTGAGCTTTCTCACTTCCTTCTCAGGGTTGCCAGAGAGGAATTTCCAGGGGGAAGGCCTAGAATGAAGGCTTGGAAATCTGAAGGGAACAAAAGACTGGGAAAACAAATTACTCTCTGAGGAGGAGACCTCACCTCTGAGGTAAGGGCCCTGCAAGAGTCGAGGTCAGACTGCCAGCAGATCTCTCTGTGCCTCCCTTCCTCAAAAGAGAATATTTAATGTTTGCCCACTCCTGGCCAAAGTCAGCTTAAATGGAGAAAAAACACATGGAATCTATTATGGAAGCATCAACCTGTGGCTTGGAAAAGTCAGCTCTCAGCCCTTACCATACCCTTCTCTCAACAATTTCTGGATTTTTATTTTCAAAAATATGGAGTAATTCAATATACCATAACTCCCCTCTAATGTTTACATGCACATTGTATCTCAGGAACAAAATTCCACAAGAAGATCTTTTGCAAAGAAAAGAGAAGGGAGGAACCACCAAAGAAACCTCAAACAAAACAAACCACTATAAACGGAGAAATTATATTAAACTTCTGAAAGTTTGCAGCAGAACTCTGAAATTTTCCTTTGGATTGCTATTTACGTAGAAAGCTCTCCTCCTGTCCTCCACCAAGTGAACTCTGCTAATCCAATATCGTATATTAACTCTCTGTGGATTCTGCTTTTGGCTCTCAAACTATCTTAAACCTGTTTTTGGAAGATTCTAGAAGTCTCTTTTCTTCGTAAAACAAAACAAGTACATTAAAATGTCAGAGTTCTGTATTCAACTACCCCTGACCAATGATGTCCCCCGCCCACACATATACAAAAGCACATTCCTAAAAGCATGTGCATTAGATTACCATTTTTCAGCCCCACAACTTCAGCATCTATTCTTGGCTTCCCTCCCACTCTTCTTTGTGGCCATGTTGTGGAGCGTCCACTCCATCAGCACCGGCTTCATGCTGTGGAGAAGCCGAACGGGCGGGTTCGACACATTTCACCTCTACCTACTGAACTGGGGCTACCTCTTTGTCTCCATCACTTCCCAGATCTCTTCTCCAATCTTCCCTCATTTTGTTTAATGAATGTTTAATAATGATCAGTAACTTACTGTAAATTGAGGCTGTCAAGCTTCAAATTCTAGCCAAAAATGCCAGGTGTCCCAAAATTTGTGGTTTCTTAGGAAAGCCGTCATATCGGGCAACCTCATAACCCAGTCGGATTAAAAAACAAAATGTGACGTATTTTCAGGCGATGCCAATTATTATTTTTATCTAATGTGGGTATGGTTAGAAGATAAACTGAAAGTGATACAGATCCCCAAGGGAAGAGGGCGACCCAAAAGGAGGAGGGCCCTGAGTGTTGAAAGTGGAGGTGTCTGTCCACGTTTCTGTACGTCACATCCTGCAGCTGGGATGTATGACAGTTGGGACTGTCACACTTTCTCAGTCAGCGATGATGACTGGCAATTAAATCACGGTTAATTGCTGAGCTCACCAATGACACAGTCCCCCGGCCTAGTTGCCCCATAACTGCCATATCTTCAACAGACTAAAGGGTGGAGACCCAGCTTTGTGGGATAAACCACTACGGCTATATGGATTCTAAGGATAAGTGATGGCTAGAACAGGAGAAGCCTTAACGGAGGAGTCCGTTTTAGGTGGGTCCTTATCTCTACTGAAGACCTGAGGATTCACACTCACAGGCCACAGGCCACAGGCTGGTTACTCTTTTATCTGAATGATTCTACCTTGGTTTTAAGTAGCCTCTGAGCACCACAAGCCTCTGAGTACCTGTCCACCCCAGGGCTCCCCATGTCCCTGCCCAGCCACAGCTCAGCCTAGGGGGTGCCCATGCCACCTGGAAAAAGTATGACTCTGACCCTAACCCTCACCATCTTCAAAGCTGCAGTTCCCCCCACACTCCGTGGCCTCCTCGTCAATGGGATATGGGGTGGTGGTCTCCTCGCTCTTCACCGTGGGTCCCAGTGTCTCCACTGTAGGCTTTGAGTCTGTGAAAAGGCAAAACAAGGACTGTGAGTGCCACAGTGACCAGTGTGGAAGCCAGCAGGAGGGCGATGCCCAAAGTGAATGAACATTTAGAGAAGGGAGAAGAAAGGAAAACCAGTGTGGACACACACACACACACACACACACACACCAAGTTGCACCTGTGTGTGGTCAGTGAGGTGAGGCGCTTTGTTGTCTGAGTTGAACAGGATGATCCTGAGCTGCAGAAACAGCTGTGGCCAAAATGTGGACATGGAGCCACGAAGTGGACACAGAACCACACTCTACTCCAGCAGAGAGGCCACTTGAGACAGGACCCGTGGGGGCGAAACTGACCCAAGGTAGGGCCAGCTTGTGCTTTGGGTATTTCATTTAACACGACATGGGTGATGTGTCCACACAAAATGAAGGCTGCCCATTCACACTGGTTCGAAAAAAAATCTCCGTGGTTACTGAACTGAGCTTCCATCATGCGGAAATGCCTCTCTGAGCTCTCCGTGGGGGGCTGGCCAGCCCTGCTTACCCAAGCACACACCTTCTCTTTCCAGCCTTTGGGGGTCAGACAGAACTTTTTTTGAACCAAAGCTAACTGCACCCAGGGGACCAACCTTTAACAAAATTATCAGAAACACAATTTCCAAAGTCATAGGCTAAGCTAGACAGTTGGGAGGGAGCACCCCAGACACTGCTCTCCCTGTTTGCACCAAACTGGATGGAAAGGACACGGATTCAAAGGACTGCAGGCGCCATTTGGTCACAGTAATTTGGGGCTGTGCCCTTACACTGGGTGTGGCAAATTAAAAGCTTCCTGGATGAAACAGCTACTGTTAGCAAGGGAGGTTGGCTGGGGCTTGGAGAGAGTTAAGAGTGGGGGAGGAGATATCGAGGGGCTCTGTGGTCTGTGGTTGATAGGAGGCCTTCAGCAGGTCAAGGACCTTGGGGAGGTGGCCCAAGGGGATCGACTGCTAATGGAGTATGAAGCTCTCAGGGGCCCAAAATACTGTAAACTTACAAAATAGCAGTGCTTGTACAACCTCTTGACTTTGTTAGAAAACAGTGAATTGCATAATTTCAGTGGTAAATTGATACTTAAATTGTATCTGTTTAAAAGTGAAAAATAGGGCCTCCCTGGTGGCACAAGGCATTAAGTCTCAGCACTATGAAGCTATCGTCAGCCATTGCAGCATGAGTTTGATCCCTGGTTCAGGGGGTGACCCACATGGTGCAGACCTCTCCTGGCCTGCCCACTGTTCCCCTCAGCAGTGTACTTCATCGATCTGCCTGTTCTGCTCTCCACTCTGTCTCTGGTAAATCCTCTCACCCCTGAGTGCTCCTCTGGCCTGTATTCCAGTTCTTGTATGCATAAGTAAATAAAAATAACATTTTTTTTTATAAAAAGAAAAAATAATTTTTTTCCCTACGTGAAGCCATATATCCCCATAGTAAATCTCCGGACTTGTCAACATTGGCAACTGATTCAAAATATATTAACAAGTAGCAAGCAACACACCTGGCTGGGCCACACCTGGCTGCAGGCAGTCGGCTCTGACCTGGTGCTTGGTGACTCATTCATTCACCCATCCATTCACTCGTCTGTTTGCTCACACCACTCATTCAGCAACCATTTACGAAATGAATGAAAGGGTGAGTCAGGCCCCGGTGGGGTAAAAGGGATCCCAGGAACTGGTGTTCAAGCCCACATGTTGTGGGGCGGGGTCTCCACCCCAGACTGCCCGAAAGGGCCGGAGTATTATTCCTCCCATTGCTCCTCTGCACCACTGTATATGATTAGGCGCTTTGTCAGGCTCCCTTCAGGATACCATTTAATAAAGCCAGGACCGAAGGAATCACTAAATACGCTGAATAGCTTTTTCACGGTCGACTTCCCATCTTTCTGCTATTACACACTACGCACATAACCTTTCATATTTCCCTTTGCCGTGTCACCTGTGGCTCACGGTAAATAGCAAATAACCTCGAAGCGTCCTAATTTGTAAGTTCAAATTTGTCACTGTGTCATAGAATCTCAAACTCAATTGTAAAGCAAACTCTGGGAGGTAAGGCAGGAAGTAATCACTTGAAGCACAAACAAACAGGTGAAGCTGCCTTGTCAAATTATTTAGCGGTGGCATCTCAACCAGCCCATTATTTTTTTGGTATCCTTCTGGGGTATGCATGAAGAAGTGAACCAAGGACAAGTCACAGGAATAAATGGAAATTTGAAAAGCAAAAGAAACCACCTGGTGTAGGGAATGGCTTTCAGAAATACACAGCAGCAAAATGGGTAAGGTGGTCGGTGGAGATAAACGTGAATGCAAGAAACTAGGACCTGCACGGCAGCAAGAGGGCAGAGGAGCGAAGGCCAGCGAGGCAACGGCAGCTGGCCTCTGTGCTCTGTGCTTGCACGGGGCGCTAGAGGTCACTGCCCATCAAACTGCACCGCTCCCCCACAATTGAAACCAGATGTGAGAGACTTCAAAGGAAGGAGGCCAGGCCGAGAGTAACAGACCTCAACACTCATCTTCCAAGTGGCCAGGCAGGACTCTGGAAGGAGAGACCCGTGCTGGCCATCACCAGTATCATTTGGGCCACGTTGGGCTGGGGGAGCGTAAGTGGACCAGGCTATTAGCAACTATCCAGATGGTCTTCATGTAGGCCAGCCTGGGAGAGGGGTGGCATGGTGGGCAAAGGAGGGGGAAACATGAATCCGCCAGTCCCCAGCTAGCTGGGCAACCTCTGCCAAGTGGCTCCATCACCCCGGGACTTAGTTTCTCCATCTGTGAAAGAGACGTTGGCTGAGAACTGTGATTTTTTTTTTTCTTCAGACATATGTCATGCTCATTAATAGGTTGTGGAATCAAATTATTGGGCATGACTAGTATTTTAAAAATATGGGCCAGGATATTTCAGAGTGGCAAGGATATTCCGGTGGCAAGGATGAGGGCTGCTTTGGGATTTGTGGCGTTTACCTCTCAGGTCAGGTTTATGTCCTGGTGCCAGCAGCGCAGGCACTTTCAGCCAATCAGTATCCATTATTCTACCTGACCCTCACAGCAACCCTTGCAGGCATAGCTAGACTGCTGTCACTCCCATATTTGACATGCGAAGAGGGAGCTAACTTAGCTGACACTGTGCAGCAGCCATCAGCAGAGGCAGGACTTAAACTGGGGAATCTGTCCCCAGAGTCCAGGCACTGACAATACACTACACCTCATATGCACACACGTGTTTGCCTGCAGGTCAAGTGGTTCATGACACAAACTGCTGTTCAACCAGGGGTGACGGTCAAAAACATTTGGAAGCCCCTGGCCTCCCCTCCGATTCTGAGGCTATGCACACAGCCAGCTCGTGTCGCTGATGGAGGGGACAGTTCTCAGCACCCGCCGGCGCACAGGTGATGCACATGCAGCAGGGAAACTTGGCCTCAGCCCTACATAATGGGAGTAAAGTGTCTCCCTGCTGAAATTGTTCACCGGGGCTGTCTTCAATCCAAAGGTGAGCGAGGCTAATTTGGGCCCGATTCCTGGCCTGCGTGCCTCGACGGGACTCCTCTGCACCATCCCAGTCAGCACGCAGGCAGCACTTTTCTCCCTGGGAGCCAAAAGCACTTATCCAACATGCCCTTATTAATCCTTCACAACACCCTGCTGGGTGAGCTGGTGACAGGTACAGCTCAGACAGGAAAATGGAACTACCTGGGGCCCTGGAGGAACGGACATGATGGCTCAGCCTGCCTGCTGCTCCGGCGGACACCGGGGTCAGTGCCCCCCCCCCAGCTCTGTCTGTGGGCGGTGAGGGGTACCTGAGGAGCTCTAATGCCAGCTTTGCCTAGAGCGGAAGACAGGAGGGCCTGACTCAGCAGGATCAGCCCTTCCTGGGAAACAAGAAAGGGCCCATGCACTCCCTGGACTCATGGGCATGAAGGAGAATGGAGGTGGCCTGGCCCGCAGCCTGGCCACCTGGCAAGGGCAGGACTGAACAACACTCTTGCCTCGCTCTGGAAGAAGTCTTGTTCCTGTCAGCTCCCCCGCAACAAAGTCCCTCCTGAGCAAATAAATGCCTTTTACAGATGTGGCTTCGAAATGAAAATGAAATCTCTCGGCCACTGACATCTGGAGACCAGATTCAGACATAAACCGATTACTTTATTATCATGAGGGGTTTTTTTCTTCCCTAAATCAACAGCCAAAGCCCTCTGGCCTGAAGAGTCAGGGTCTAATTGAATTTGGGTGGGTGGTGTGTGGTTATGATTTGTTTTTGAGAGACTAGGGTTGGAGAACTGAAATGATCCTGTAAAAAGAGACAAAACACATCTCTTGAGAAGCCATCCCCAGTCCAGAGGTTCCTGTGTCCATGGTTTGAGGCAGAAGAATACTGCATCCAGGGCAGGCAGGGGATGGTAGGGTTTCTAGGGACGAGTTTTCACCAGGGACCGCTGCTCCCTCTCCCTGCCTCCACCTCCTCCCATAGTATTCCCAGAAACCAAGGCCACCACAGTGTGAGGCTGAGAGAAGCAAAGGCAAGGTCTTACCTGTCCAGTCACAGCCCAGCACCTCCAGCCGCATCCCAATTCCCGCTGGAGACCACCTCTCGGGGTACACCCTGACGTACTGTGCCGGAACAGGGTCGAATCTTCGAATGTCAGGAGTGTCATAGTGCATGTTCCCTTCAAACAGCTGTAGGGGAGACAGGTTGCTCAGTTCTTATGGTGGTCCTGTCCTCTCCCCCTCCTTTCAGAAGGCAGCCTCAGAGTTGACTCATGAGACTGGACATTATGAACCCTTGAAGCCCCACTGTCCTCAGGTCCAGGTTTTCGTTCTTCGGGAGGGTGGCTAAGGCAAGCATGGAAAATAGGGAGCAGAGGGATGTGGCGATTGCTAGCTTCTGCCTTTTATTCTGGACTGACAGGGAGGTCTGTGGAATTAGGCTCCCAATGAGTCTTTAGCTGCTTGCCTGGAGAAGAGAAGGGAATTTAGCTTGTCTTGTCCATTGTGAAGCTCTCAGTTTATCAGAAAAAGAAATTCTTGAAAGTATAGCTATAGATCGTTGTAATTGAATGATGGTCAATTACAGTTGACCCAGTTCCCTGAGAGGCTGAAAGGAAGGGCCAATCCCCTTCTCTAAACTAAAAACAGAGTCCTGTGGTCACACATTGATAGCCCAAGACTGTTCACCCAACGTTTGTTCAGGGGAAGCAGTTCTGCGAGAAGCCTCCCTCAGAGCCCCGGTAAATATAACTGAGGCCAGGTGGGGACCCTTGCCCAGTGTACAGCCAGGAGCCACTGATTTAGGGGACTTCTGCTGAAGCCCCCCTGGGTTTGGCAGTATAACCTGGCTCCACAATTCCAGGGTGGGGGCACTGTCGGAGGAAGGGCAGGCCCCAACCGGACTGAGATCATCTCCTTTCCCAGGCCCCCAGACTGGTCAAGAAGAGCTAGGGTCAGCTCTCCCCAGGGAAGCCTGTTGTCCAACTTCTGTTCCAGCCACTGGAGGTTCCGGTTACCAAGGGCAGAGTATTTCTAAGCCTCTAGAACTGTGAGTTTACACCACCATTTTGAAACATCCACCCCATCCCTTGTCTCTGCATTAAGAATGGAAATATTTGCTCAGCAAAGGGGGCTTAACAGAGATATGTAATACCCCTTCCTTGTCAGGGGCCCTACTCTTCTGAGGAAATGGAGGGGTAATGGAGATGAAGACCGGAAACCCTGGCTAAGCTGGAGGTTAACCCGGAGAGGTACAGGGGCGTCTCGGCCTCTCCCCTTCCTGGGGCTCCTTCGTGCCCCAAGAGGAAGGCTGACCTTCACTCCTCGATGGCAGGAAGGGTGGGCTGCACTGGCCTGCACTTCCTGCCTGGAGTAAGTTTCTCTTGACACTGCTAAGCCAGAGCATGAGTGGTGGGAAAGATCCAAGCAGTCAAGACTAGGAAAACAGAGGAGTGTAGCAACGTTCAGAAAAACATGGTTGTTCTTGGAAATAATCCCCTTGTTTCCATAGTTGAGCCTCCAGAAACCACACCCCCTTTGGATGTTCAGCCAATTCTAAGGAAACTTTATCTGAAAGAGGGCATAAAGGATGCAGAACTTTGTAGAACAGCAGTGTTATAGGGGCTCTTGAATTAGACTTGGGTGTATGAACCCCGGCCCTATCACATGTGTGACCTTGCACAAAGTCAATCTTACTTTGGTCATTTAGGAGCTAATGAAACTTCCAGAGACATTGTAAGGGTTAAAGTCCTAACAAGGATTGAAACGGGCAGTTAGCAATCTCCCATCTAATTGCTTTGTTGGATTACAGGGATTTGGTGATGACTGTCGAGATGGGGGATCAGCATCTTTAACTTAACTTCCCCATGTGGGGTAAGATTACAGGGGTGTCCAGGAATATCTACCTTCGGCTGCTGGGTCCTGGGGTCCTGGATGTATTCCCAGTCCTTGCCATTTAGGCTGTAGGAGACTTTGAACTTGCGCACAAAAGCCCTGGCTTCCACGGCTGTGATGCTGTCTCCTCCGCGGGCTCCCTGGATGATGACGCCTTTTACCGTCTTGGGCGCTCCCAGGTCCACCTGAAGCCACTCCTCACCAGGCTGTGCCTGAGGGACGCGGGGGAACCAGCCTGAGCGGCTGCTGACCAGACGAGCAGCACTGGGGCTCCAGAGGTACTCACGGGTGGAGGAGGCCGAGATCTGCGAGTCGGCTATGAGGCCGGAGAGCATGCCCAGCATGTTGGAGCAGGGAGCATCTGCAGAGAGCGAGGAAAATACAAGCGGTCACGGCTGACACCCTCTTCACTAGGAAGAACCCCCTGACCGCCCTTTAATAGGGAGCTGTAAAAGAACCCAACTGTCAGCACGGATTTCTTTGCATTTGGATCTAGTGGAGCACTGGAGTTAGAGTCCAGACTGGGATCAGAGCCCCTGGTTCCTGTTTGCTCTGCCTCTTGCTAGCTTAGGATCACTTGCTTGGGCAACTGATTGAATTGCTGTTCCTCGGTTGAGGTGTATGACCTTGGGCAAATGTTTGAATTGCTTGGTACCTCGGTTTCGTTAGGTCTACAGGAGGGTTAACAGCAGCACTTAACTTTTGGGGGTTGTTTCAAGGATCCTAGTAGCTCCTCTATGCAAGTTCACAATAATCAGCCAAGGACTCTCAGATCCTTGTCTATGAGACCAACCCCCACTTAACCTCCCCAGGGATGCTGAGCTGAACATAATACCTGCGTGACTGTTTTCTCAAGAGGATGAAAACTTCCCTGGGGGCTGGTGTTTACTTCTAAGTGTGTGATACCACTTTTTTCACTGCCTGTCATCTTTCTCCCATGCTGTTCCCACAGTCAATGTCGGTCTAGACTTTATCCACTGCCTAAGCTGAAAGGTCAGCCCCAAATTTTCAGTCATCAGTCACTTAGGTCTCCTTAGTCACTGCCTCTGCCTCAGTCGCCTGGCTCTTTCCCTCCAGGCATGAGCCTTAGCTTATCACCATCCTTGCACTCCTTTCTTATCTAGCTTGTCCACTAACTTTAAGTTGCATGACGCCAGAGACCCATCTGCTTTTCTCTCTTCTCTGGCCCCAGTTCCCAGGGCGGGGCCAGGCCTTAGCAGATCCCTGATAAATTTTGTGGACTGAATTAGTGAGTGGACAATGCATAGGATGGTCTCCACCAAGGCAGGGGCTACAGTGTGCAGTAAACCCCTGCAAACTGAGTGGCAGACCAACATGATCCTCCAAGTGGTCCTGTTTCTTCTGTCCATTACTTTCGATCTTCTAGAAAATGAGTTTTAGTTTTGTTTTTTAATTTATTTATTTATGCATACAAGAACTAGGGTGTAGGCCAGAGGCTTTAGGGAGGACAGGACTCACCAGAGACAGAATGGGGAGCAGAACAGGTGGTTCTACTGAAATACACTGCTGAGGGCAAGACAGAAGAGGTCTGCTGTGCCATGTGGGTCAGCTTCCTGGCTGGGGATCCAATTAGTGCTGCAGTGGCTGTGGACAGCTTCATAGTGCTGAGACTTAACCCTTTATGCTCCCAGGGAGGTCCCTGAAAATGAGTTTTAACTAAGTCCTTGATGGTTAGCCTGTGCTGGCCTGGAATAGCAATGTGAAGGGATAGAAAACAGTCCCTGAGGTGCAGTTAAGGTGAACCACTCCCATAAAAGGGAAGCCAGGTCTTTGGACAAAGCTGACCGGGTGGGGAGCTGTACCCATGTTTAGGAGTGCAGTTTCCGGTACGTCTAATTCTTAATTGGGTGACTTTGGGCAAGCTGGTTAGCCTGCTTGAGTCTTGCTTTTGTGCCCCACTTATCTCATAGAGTTGGTAGGGAGAGGAGATGTTATACAAGATACGAATGATACAGACTCTGTGTGAAAAAGAAGTGTTTTAACTGGAAGTTTAAAATGGTCACACCGTGGACTTGGGTGTGACCCCTGGAGGAGGGGCACCACGGATTCTGATGCTTAACATGGCATGTCCCTATGGGTGCTGGGACAATTAGGGTACAGAATGGTGGGTGGGTGTGCCCTGAAGACCCTCAGAGTCAAATGGTCAAAGAAGCAAGTCACATGCTCTGGGCTGAGGCCATACGATGAAAGGCTGAGCTTTTGTATGAATAGTCTGGGGTCACCCAGCACCCTGTCTCATCCATAACAGTGCACCAGCTTCCCACACTAGCTCAGTTCCCATTCCAGCCCCTCCAAGCTGTCCTTCACCTCTGTGCTCCAGGGGTCTCAGCTCTCCCTCCATGCCCCACCAACCCCTTTCTGGTCCTTTCAGGCCAAGTGCCATGGTGCAAGCTGAGCCCACTCTGGATCCTATTCCCTCCTCTGATCCGCAGGTAATGCCTGTGAGGCCTCTGTCCTTGCTCAGTCATCACCTCCACAAAGTCCTCCCTGATCTCCCTTTTACTGGGTCAATTCTCTTATAATACATTTCTATTTTAAGACACTTATTGTAGTTTAGATTTTACATTTATTTGTAAAATCACCCCCTCTTCCCAATGTGTTCAGATGCCCACACAGAACTGGACCTGTCCTGTGTATCAATGGATCTGCAGTGCCACGGAAAGCTCCTGGCCTCTGTTGAAGCAGCAGGGGCTCTGAATTCAGACTGCCTCAATCCAAACCCTGGCTCTACCGATTTACAGATGGTTGCTCCACCTGCAAATTGGGGAGAATAAAAATACCTACTTCATAGAGTTCTTATAATAGCATATCTTCAATGCTACACAAATGTTAGCTAGTAGAAATAGTAGATGCTTAATAAGTATATACTGCACGAAGGAAGAATGAATGAGTGAGTGAGTGAATGAATGAATGAATGAAAAGACAGACTGGTAGGACCTGAGTCCTTGAGCCAATCCTGTAAAGGTCATAGAGCACAATCATGCTGTCGGCAGTTGGCAGAGGGCTGAAAAGGGCAGCAGAGCCTAGAATGCAGTCAGCTCCCCAGTGCCACTGGGATCCCCTCACCTGTGACCCGGCAGCCGAAGAGTTCCAGCCGCAGGGCGATGCCCGAGTGCCAGGTCTGAGGGCGAACCCTGACAAATCTCGTCAGCACCGGTGTGTGAAGCTTGTTCAGAACCACTTCTGTCGCATCATTGTTGGCTTGGAACACCTGTAACAAAAGACCCGAGATTGCGTTACTGAAATTTCTGTTTGTAGTTTAGCCAGGGGTACAGTCTTCTTCAGAGGGGTTTGGAAAGTCCTCTTGAATTTTATTTCCCTCAAGCTTAAACATAATCAGTGAGTTTGTTGTTTGAGGCTTTTTCAGAGGCACCATGAAGAAAAAAATTTAATGTCTTACTCTGTTCTAACTTGAAAACAATAAATGGTCCTCACAAAAAATTTGGAAGCAAGGAAAATTTGCCTCTGGGCTGAGAGCAAACAGAGGAAGGTGGCTTGAAAAGGAAAACACTTTCAGAATCTGGGAAAGAGAAAAAAATAGACTATCCTTTTAAAAACAGAGTGGAAATGTCATCTTTCAGGACGAGCCGACCTCACGTATTACTTGAACTTGCCTCTCGTGTTACAAGCATATAGGGAAATAGGCAAGGTGTTTTACAATTACAAAGTGCTTCAATTGTTTTTCTTAGTTACTTGGAAACCTCCCTGGTCTGTGAATGGGTGAGAGGGTGAGGGTGGGGGGCAACATCTACCCCCACTGCCCTCATGTCAATCAACACTTTCTTGGTTCTCTCTGGTCTTTGTTTTAGGGTTAAGGTTGCAGACAAGCCTTTGGAGTCTTGCTGTGGCTTCCTCTTACTGTAGTCCCACGCTGTAATGAAATCCATCCCTGTCCCCATCTGACCAATGCATCTCTTCTGGGAGGAAAGGCTTTTTGGAGTAGCTTTAATCCAACATGGTAGGGGCAAGTCCGAGTTTACCAGATGGCCCAAATCAATAACTGCCATATGGACCTTATGCTTCTTGTGCTGTCCATTAAACAAAAAAATGTAGCTAGGGCAAGTGTGTGAGTTTCTCTTGGGTTCCCTGAATTAGGGTGGAGGGAAAGACCAAAGAACCAACCGCTGCTTTTAATTCATACTGGCGCAATCAAGTCACTGTAAGTCTGCAACAACTAGCCATTTTTGCTGGGGTGGGGTAGAGGTGGGGCCAGATACTTCCACTGAAGGTCACTTTTTAACATGCAGGTGTTTGTGCACTGACAGGGCTCAGACAACAGGAGTGGGGAGTCCTGAAAACAAAACTACATCTACAACATTTTGGGAAGTGTGGGAGTGGTATGTTATTAGCTCCATGTTATCAACGAGGAAACGGAGACTCAGCAATATCTGTTTGGATCCAATGATTCTAGGATGCAGGCTTGTGGTTTCCCAGATTGACTACAATCTTTTAAAATAAATCTGTAGCATTTCTACAAAGACTGATAGTTAGGTATCATGAGCCTTTCAGGGTTCCAAGCATAGGGTGGGTGGTGGGTGGAGGTGGAGTCCCTGCTCAGTGATGCTGTAATCTCAGCCTGGAATACTCTGGTAGCAGCAAAGAGCAGCATGGAAACTCAGAGCTGATGAACAATGTGTTCTTTCTTCCCCATGAACTCCGTCATTTGGCAACCTTGAACCCACCCTATTTCCCACTTGCTGAGGTCAAAAGTTAAGAGGCATTTCATACGTAGCACACCAATGATGGTAAGGGCGAGGGTAAGAGCCGTCATTACCTTTAGCAACCAAACGAGACGAGCTTAAGACAAACAGGGAAGAAATAGATTTTCAGAGCCCACCACACTCAACTCAAACTCCCTATGCATGATGATCCCACCAGCTGCCCAGCTTGCCACTACTCCCCGGGGAGTATCCTGCCTGGTCCTAAGGCCACCTGCTGTCCCACTGACCAGAGGAGCCGAGAGAAGGGCTGATGGACCAGAATTGGGGGATCTGGCTGCTTCCTGTACAGTGCTGGGGGAGAAAAAAGGGGCAGGAGAAAGGCCAAGAAGGCAGAAGAATGAGGGTGAGAGCTTGACCTCTGGGAAAGGCCCAAGCCTCCGAGAATTCAGTCTGAGAGGGACAACCAGAAGAAGGAAACAGGCACAGGAAGCCTCGCCAGCCCGTTCTTGGTTTCCTCGGTGCCTACAAAGGGCTCCACAGCCCTGAGAGAAGGGATGGAGGAAATGATGCCAAGGAAGTGAGACTCATCAGTTCTAGAATTCAGCACCAGGAAGAGGCTTTTTGCTTGTGTGTTTGATTTTGTTTCATTTTGGCAAGGAAGATGCACATGCACCCTTGGCTTGCTGATTTGAAAGATGGTGTGAGCAGTGCGGGACCGCCACAGCTTTGCCCCCTGGGGTGGTGCTTGGTAGCGTGTGTGGCCACCACCAGGAGATGCTTAAGGGGATCAGCACCCGAGCTGGATTTGCCATGTGAAAACATAATTGGAGCGATGAGTGGATCTGAACTTTAACACGATTGCTAATTTACGGAGACACACCATACTGGTACCGTTTAGAAACACAGCACGTCTTATGTGTTTTTAATATCCAATTTTATCTTATCTGACCCCTTCATTTTTCAACCTTGGCAGGCAAAACCAAGAAACCATTTCTTTTTCCACTCTGCAAAGAAATGACTGTGTCTCTGACAGCCCTTAGGACGCTGGCATGTGGCCTGGGGGTCACACGTATGTGCGCTTGCACCTGCTGGTAGGGAGGTGCTGGTCTCCCCAAGGTTGCAGGTTTTGGGCCCTGCCTATAGTGGCATCGGAGAAGTAAGCACATAGTTAATCTACCCCAGGCAATCGCTGTGGCTGCTCAAATTGAATTTCATTCTGCCATTTCGTTTTACTTACTCTTCTGCCCCGGAACCAAATAAGCTTCTTTCGATGTGGCCTCTTATTATCCTTATGTTTCCAAGGCTAGTTCCCTCTTGGCTCCTTGTGCTCATCACTAACTGCATGCTACTGTCTGGGCCCTGTGCTAAAGCAGTGCCATCTTTCAGCATACTCTGAGTGGGGGGTTGTGGGAAAAACCCCCCAACACCACTGAATCAGGCCAGGGCTTAGGCTCTGCTGCAAATCAGCACATAAGTGTGGACAAACATCACTGCCTCCCTCAGGCCCCAATTTCCTCCTCTGATAAATGAGCGTTATTGTATGGGGACTTGCAAAGGATCTTTCTGGCCCCCAATTCTAAGGCTTTCTTTTACCAGAGTTTGCCATCTAGCTTCAGGTTTGAATTGCCCCAAGAGAGCCCACATCATCACGGGTCATTTTAGTTACCCATTTTCCCTTCTGGCCTAAGTGCCTTTATGGGCAAGTGCTGTGGACTTTAATACACTTCAGATCGTACCCAGAATGCAGTGTGAGTGCTGCACTCAGAGGAGAATACACCTTGTTGATGTTTTGGCCCAATAACAGTTCAAATTATTAATAATCAAGAGTAATGAATAACACCACCTTAGTCCTTACATATTGTCTTTCACCCAAAGATATCAAAGTACAATTTATGAAAATCCATTTTTAATGAAATATTAAGCAGTTTCTATTTTTCTGACCCAATGGATTTACAAGGTCTCTATTTTTCTCCCTGCATTTCCCTATTTATAGCTGGTAAATGCTATCATATATTATACATCTTTATGACTTTCTCAATGCTTCTGTGGTTTCAGAATCACCCTTCATATGTTTTCTGATCAAATTCTCTAAGATGGATTCTTGGCTTCAAGTCTAGGCATCGCAAGGTAGAGGGTTGTGTGCCTGGGAAATGATGCCAGGAAATTGGTTTTACTCCCTATTCCCTGCAATCACTATAGGCAAATCAATAAACCTTAGATACCTTGGTTTCTCCTTCAGGAAAATAAAGTCAATAACAGGCTTGCACACTGGAGTCTACCAGTCCTCCTGGCTGGTTGTGATGCCTGACAATAGGGAGGACAGATGTTTGAGGAGAGGCCACATCACAAGAAAGAATTAGGTCTTTGTTCAACGGGGAGACTTCAAGTTCTGAAAGCCACTGACACCCAAGTCCCACCTCCAGGCCAAACATTTTCAGCTCTTGGTCTGTAGTGAGTGATCATAATGCTAAGAAAACTCAGAGGAGTGTGGATGGTACACCCAGACAGCTATCAAGACAGACAGCTATCAAGTGTGATGATTAAATTACAACATCTGCTTGAAAAGCTGGATGTCACAGATGGTATACATATTTGTTAATGTTAAAATAAAAATGCTAATAAGTAGCTTTAGCACCCAAAGGAAACCCAGATGTGTGTTCAAGGTGATCTCAGCTTTCTTAAGAGAAGGAGATAGTGCTAATTATACAGGTAATTATTAAGGGACATACACACAAACACACTCATGCATATTTTAACAAAGCAACGTTGAACAGAACGATTTCTTCAAGTCTATCTCTGTAAACCAAATTTAAAAAACAAACCAGAGCACAACATGGTTGGGATAATCCATTTGGTGCCTCGCTGAATTCTGAACATAATCCAGCACTTTCCAATTGATTCTGGAGACCTTTGGTTTATTTTCAGTAGGATAGAATCTGAAACCAGCAGCCCTTTATGGATTTTCTGACTTGTACCTCTGGGGAGGGAGCATCTGCCAGTTAAACTAGCTGCTATCCAACAACCCAGTTTGGAGATCACCTACCTCCCCACCTCCCAGAAAGAGAAAATCAACATGTTCTCACCGTGCCTGTGAGCTCAGGAGGCAGAAGCTATACAACCCTATGTAAAATTACATATAACATGTATGAGCGAATAAGAAACATCTAGTCAGAAAGCATCTCTGTAGATTCAGGTGTCTTTTCTGGGGCTTACCCCACTCTGGTCACAGCCACCTCTCCCCCGAAAGCCCCTTTTTAAAAATTTACATATCTATTTACACTATTGCTCATTTTACAACAATTTTTACTTCCCCCCGCCCCCCTTGTCATCACCATAGTCCCCCTCACTTCTCCCTCCTTCTGATCCCTCTCTGTCTCCCCTGTAGGATTGTTCTGGTTTATAATTGTCTGTTTTTGTCTTGCTGTGTTGTAATAACAATACACTATATTTCCCCCCATGGCTTACTTGAGTCTCTTAAATTCCTCCTATAAGTGAAACCATTTGGTATTTTTCCCTTCCAACTTAATTTCACTGAGCATAATCTGAAGGT